GAGAAAATTACATGTAACATTAACAGAAATCCACAAAATCTATCAGCAAATAAAAATATTTACTTTCGTGAGAATGCTTAAAAACATTCAGGTTTTCTTTCATCAGGAACTTCCCATGATGCTGTGCCTCAGAGCATTCAAGATGGCTATGAAACAGTTTTAGTCAGTATTAGTAATAACAAGTGGATTGAGTCTGTTAACAGAAAATAGTTTATTTTATCCCATTATTATACTTAGACTCCACTTTGCTCTCTCACCTGTTACTGAGGTCTACCAGATGTCTTCAGAGGGCGAGTCTCATGCTATGGAGCCCTTTCTCTAGACCCAGTCAGTACCGGGCTGATGATCTGGGAAGTACATGAATGTACATGGCCAGTGCATTCTTTCTTTCATAAAATTACATGCTTGGACCACTGAAATGGTAGTCATCTACTGATTGAGAGTGACTTGAAATGTTTATACTGACAGAAGTCCTACAAAATATATTTTTATTCATGATACAGCACATGCAATGACTGAGATGGGGGTGGGGGGGGAACACCCTCCACAGCTCCATAGAAACTTGATCATACTGCAATCTCTTCCCTCCAGTCGTCCCGCCTATTGGATCCTGAGCACAGACATACATGTGTCTGGTATGTTTTAAGACCGACCAGGACAGGAACTCAAATCATGATTGCCATGTGGCTTCCAGAACTACAGTTTAATATACTAGTGATAGCTCCACAGAGGCTGGACTCCAACAAAAACTTATTTGCCTAGAACTCCTCATATTTCAGGGGCAGTTTTTCTCCACACTAGAAAAATTAACCTTTACGTGGAAAAGACAGTATATGCAAGGAAATAATAAAATATTCCACAACACAATATTTTTACTATGTAGCTTCAGAAATATAGAGTAAAAGAGACCAACTCTACCTTGTAGAATTAGGGACACATTTATCACAATGGGACATGTCCGCTGTGATTTAAAGGATAAGCTGACATTGACCAGGTGAATGAAATAAACTATTTTAGGCAAAAGAAAGGTAGTAGTCAGAAGGTATGTTCAAAAGCATGACGGAAAGTTCACAAGAAGTAGAACGATGACTCTGAGTTTTCCCAGAAAGTTAATAAAATACAACGCCATGTCTTTCTCAGAGACTCCCTAACATGGAGCTAGGAAATGTGTGTTTTTTAGTATCTTGTCTACTTAGTCCAACAACACACAGGGGAACCTCTGGGACATAGCATAGGATGATGGAAGACATATGGTTTTATGCTAGGTAGAGAGAGCATCTGCTTATATAGAAATATTATTTATAGTAAGTTTCTTAATATAATATCTTAGTCATAGAAGAGATCTTTTTCTTTTTCTTTCTTTTTTTTTTTTTGAGAGGTTTTTGCTATAGGGTGTGTGCACTCGCAAGACAGAGACAGAGAGAGAGACAGAAAGCAAGAAATCACCCCCCCCCGGGGGGGATGGCCACGCCGCAATCCCTTTTCCTCCATTCTCCTCTCAGGATCTTGGGCACGTATGCACATGCGCCCAGTGTGAGTTTTAAGCCACCAAGTCGGGATGCAAACTGTGTACAACTACGTGGGAGTCCAGCGACATAGCCATTACACTAACTGCCGGTCCCAAGATCTTTTTAGCTTGTAAACTAAACTTTTTAAAGTTTATGCCCCAAGGCTTCAATTAAATGTTGTACTATAGGTAATAATGTTCAAAGTCCTTACTCATTTTTCTTAAATTAATTTATATAAACCAAAATACATTAGCTCATACATAACTTTTTTTTTCCTTTTTCTTCTCTCCTATTTTTTTTGTTTTTGTTTTTTTGTTTGTTTGTTTTTGGAGAGGTTTTTCGCTATAGGGCGCGTGCGCTTGCCAGACAGACAGAGAGAGACATAGAGACAGAAAGCGAGAAATCACCCCCCAGGGGGGATGGTCACGCAGCAATCCCTTCTCCTCCATTCTCCTCTCGGGATCTTGGGCACGCACGCACACGCGCCCGGCGTGAGTTTTAAGCCACCGGGTCCGGGACGCGAACCGCAGTCGACTACGTGGGAGTCCAGCGACATAGCCATTACGCTAACTGCTGGTTCCCTTCTCTCCTATTTTTCATCCAATGTTTTAGGATTAAAGCATTGGATGTTTTCAATGAGAGAACTTGTAAGCAAACTAAATTGTGTTCCTAAGGAGAAAATGGTGAAACACTTTGTACAAGTGGCAAATATAAATCTATCTAAAAAAACAAAATATATTGTATATATCTAAATAAGTAGTTATGACATGGAAAGGAAAAGTGCTTGAGTTATTGTTATTTTTCACCATAAAATTGATTCAAAAGAAAAACAATGGTGGTATTTCAGAGTAATTTGCCCAGGACCCATAAGCAATTCTGATCCTTCACACAGTATTATAGTCAAACACACAATAGATCACCCCAACTACCCAGTCATCCTTGTCCCTGAAATGTGTGCTAAAAATTCCCCAAATGCAACTTTCTCTTTTTATCTTTATAAGTGAAAGGTTAAGAAAGAGTTTCAGTAAGCACTTTCTATCAAGGGAAAGTTTTGAAAAGTCTAAATGTGCTTTAACAAATTGGTTGTCTAGACAAAGATTTCATGGGTGATAACCTTGAGAAGGAAAAATAAATTACAAATAAAAAAAGAAGACACATTTCAAGAAAAATAACTGAGATTAATGACTGTTCCTCCTCTTTCCTAGAGGTGGTCAGATCACCAAAAAAAAAAAAAAAAAAAAAAAAAGAACCTAGTAAATGACTGAATTATAAAAACTACATTGATACTCAAAGTACTTGGTGATTCTAACACCTTGAGGGCAAGACCCAATTAATGTGCACTCATATGTGTGAGTTATTCCCAAAGCACTTGCCATAGCAGTGGTCCCAAAACAGGTCCTCAAAAGCATATGGCGTTGGGACCAACAGTTAGTGTAATGGCTATGTCGCTGGACTCCCATGTAGTCGACCGCGGTTTGAGTCCCGGACCTGATGGCTTAAACTCATGCTGGGCACATGTGCGTATGTGCCCAAGATCCCGAGAGGAGAATGGAGGAGAAAGGATTGCGGCGTGGCCATCACCCCTGGGGGGTGATTTCTCGCTTTCTATCTCTCTGTCTCTGCCTGTCTGGCGAGCACACATGCCCTATAGCAGAAACCTCTTCCCTCCCCCCCAAAAAAGCATATGGGGTTATATTGTTTTCACTGGAAAGACATATGATAGGACAATGTGCTTGCTCATTTTCCTTTCCATTCATTCAAACCCCAACTGTTTGCCTTGGCCCTCTGTTCCCATTGCAGCCGTACGCCTGAATTCCTAATATTTGTTCTTACATGCAAATTTTCCATATGTTATATTTTACATGATTCTAATTGCTGCGCAATTTTATGATGGTTCTTTGCAAAGATGTTTCTAAATCTCCAGAAAAGGCAAGGAATAACAACTTACCAGTTGTGAAGAGAAGTTTCCTAGGATCCTGAGAAAAAGGAAAAAAATGTGACTAGGAAAACACTGATGATATAAAATTCTATGTGGTAGTGGTATCTGCAGGGCCTAAGAGCCACATGTTCAGGATGAAAGATACTGTTCCCAAAGGGAAACAAGAGAGACTCAATTAAGTTCCGCAACATTTTCACAATGCTAGAGACTGTAACAAGTAAAACATATAACTCAAAGTTTATCCACCTGAGAAGGGCAAAGACTGGATGAGTCATAAGGTCCAGGATTTCCTCTTAATGGTTCCCAATGAGCTAGTGCAGTGGCCTTAATCCCACTGTTTGATCATTTTGAGAATCAATACTTTTAGCTATAACGTGAAAACAACCATATATATTGTCTACACAGTTTCTAAACTGTACCTACTAAGTGTCAAGACAGTGATAATCAAAACCAATAAAATAGGCTTACACAATAAGCTGGAAAGTCTTTATTACAAAGAATTTTCTTCCCATTTTCCTCTTAATTTTATAATGTGTTATTTACTATCAACTTTTACACATTTCTATAGCATACAATAAGACTATTAAAATCAATGATATGTACAAAATAAAGCTTATGAAGCTAGGGAATAAAAGCACAGTAAAGTACCTAGACGATTTGTGTACTGTAAACTCAGTACTGAGAAGACTAATTGAGAACTTAGTAAGTTTCAAATCCTGTGAAAAGTGGTGCGGAAATTCAAGGAAGCTAGGTCTCTGCTACATGGAAATAGAAAATACTAATATTGTTTTTGTAATATTTCCTTGAAACTATATCTCTCATGCCATAACGAACTACTGTCAACTCTCATTCTACATTCTGGAAAATTTAGATCAATCCCCAGTTAAATTTGTGGACTGATCATTCATCCTCTTAATGCTTCATACTGCAGAAGTTTTTGAATACCTTCCCTTATGGCATCATTGAATCTGCGGTCAGGCCAAGCTATCTACTAAGTCAGAAGCCATGTATATAGTGGAATTTCAGCAGCTTTGAATAAGAACCACTTGCCCAAGAGTAGCTCCTAACCTAGGTTACGGGCATTTAATTCCTGGCATTAAAAACATGGCTATAGGCCAGCCAGTGGTGTGGTGGTTAAGGAGGCTAGATTCCACATGGCTTTCCAAGCAGTTCAGGTCCCTAATACAGCAGCTTGGGAAACATGCCAGGCATGTGTGAATGTGTGTTCCAAATCCCAAAAGGAATGAGAAATGGAGTAGAAAGGATTGTTGGCTGGCTATCCCCCATGGGAGGTGCTTTCTCACTTTGTCTGTCTTTCTCTCTTTGTCTATTCAGTGAGTTTATATGTACTCTGGCAAAATTAAAATTAATTCAAAAAGCACGGCTAAAGGATAATTTCGAGAAATCCAGCCAATAAAATATAAGATAAGCTGAATGAAGTAGTAGTATGAATAAATAACTATGGAACCAAAAAAAAAGGATCAATCTACACTGCAAGGGAAAAAAGATGGAATAGGATAATGGTAGAGAGAGTTTCACAGATAACAAAATGAGGCAGATTTAGCTTGGCTATCAAAAACTGCAGCATCCACAAGCATGAGGATGGGTCAGAGTAGAATAATAAAAGCACAAAACAGGAACAACAAGGGGCATAGCATGAAACCTTTTTTTCAAAGACAATTCACAGAAAAATCAACGAAAAGCATAGATTTGGGGCCAGCTAGTGGCATGATGGTTAAGGCAGCTGGAGCCCACAAGGCCGACTGCTCAGTTCAAGTCCTGGATCCCATGTTTTGAAAAAAAATATGCTGAGCATGTGTGTGTGTGTGCATACCCCAGATCCTGAATGGAATGAGAAATGGAGGAGAAGGGATGGCAAAGTGACCATGCCCCATGGGGGAGAGTGGCTCTCTCTCTGTCTCTCTCTCTCTCTGGTGAACACACACACCTTCTGGCAAAATGAAAAAGAAAACAAAAAGTATGTGCATGTACTTTTATTTTCATCTGCATCTATCACTTTGCCCTTTTCGCCCAAGCACAGTATGATAGTTATTAAAGCGTTTTTACCCTGTAACGGCACTGTCGACACCTTCAGCTGAATGATAGGAATTAGCCCCAAACTGGTGCGAGTCAGAAGGTACGCCTGAGTGGCAACCATCTGAACACTGAAGAATATAAAAAGTAGACACTCTGCACACTCCCATTTTCAGCAGGAGAGACTATGAAATAGTAATTATCTATATTTTCTATTGAAAGGAATAAAACTCAACTTGACAACTACATTTTAAAAGCACTCAAAAGGAGCAGCAAGGTATGAATTTTCTGTGAAAATAACAGACCCTCATTAGTCATCTTATGACAGGTGAAAGGAAAATGGGAAGACAGAGACCACCCACCTCATCGCGGTATCTTGCTGCGTTTAGTTCAATGAAGTCCTCGCTGTAGTTCACTGAGAAGTTGAGGGCATTCACCAGATGGGCAGCCACGTGCACACCTGCAGGATCACACCAGCTGTGAGTCAGTGGGTTTTCATGAATGCTCTGTGGAAAGGAGTCAAATCCCCTCTCTACATAAACACGTGGTCCAACTGTGACAGCTAAGTGAGCAATAAGCTATTCAACTGAAAGCCAAATAGCCTAAATGTCTAGTTATGATGACCTTGGTATCAAAAGAGCTATGTCACTTCAAATTATGGCCAGGAAAAAATGTCAGCCACTATGCCACTGAGACTGTAAACCACTACTTTTTTATATTTTTGCTATCCCTCACCAGAGAGACAGAGAGTGAGAAATCACTCCCCAAGGGGAGATGGCCATGCCGCAATCCCTTCTCCTCCATTCTCTTTTTGGGATTTTGGGCACACACGCACACATGCCCGATGTGAGTTTTAAGTCGCTGGGTCCAGGACTTGAACCATGGTGATGACACAGGAGTGCAGCGACATAACCATTATGCCATTTGCTGGTCCCAATCACAACTAATTCTATTCTGAGAACTGAATATGAATTTTTTCTTTTTGTCTTTTAACTATGAGCTAGGTGTCAATATAAAGTTAAAAAGTTAAACTAAAAATAAATAAACAAACAAACTGAAAAACAGAGAGGTAGTATGTCCCAGTAAAGCAGAAGGGCTGCTTGGGACAGAATCTATATAATCTGTCTCTAGCATCCATGTACTTAATTCCTATGATTATTATTCCTATGATTATTACTTTCTGTTTCCAAAAATTTGAGAAGTATCATATAAATACTCAGGATAAATATTAATTTTATGGCTGGCACCATAATTCAGCAGTTAAGGGAGCCAGATCTCACCTGGCTAACTGTGGTTTAAATCCCAGCTCTGACTGAAAAAGCATGCCAGGGGGGGCAGCAAGAGGCATAACCGTTAAGGCACAGGACTCCTGTTTGAGTCTACTGTTTGAGTCCTGGACCTGGTGACTTGAAAATCAGTTCAGGCGTACATGTATGCATGGCCAAAATCCCAGGAGAATGGAGTAAAAGGGATTGTGGTGAGGCCATCACCTTGGGAGGATAATTTCTCACTTTCCCTTTCACTGTCTCTCTGGTAAGCACACATGTCCTATGGCAAAAATCTAAAAAGAAGAAGAGGAAAAGGAAAAAAGAAGAGGAAAAGGAAGAAGACGAGAGAAGGGAAAGAAAGGAAGAGGGGAGCGGAGGGAAGGAAAAGCATACCAGCATGCCCAGAGTCTTGACAGAAAGAATAAATGGAGGAAAAAGAACTGTGGCATGAATCATGCCCCGTTGGGGGGGTGCCTTCCCCTCTCTTTCTCTCGTCTCTCTCTCTCTCTCTCTCATACTCACTCACACACACACTGCCAAATGCACACACCCTCTGGCATAAAAAAAATTCATTTAAAAATTATTCTATAAACAAAAAGATTCTCGCTTTATTTTTTAACTTAGAAAAGAACATAATTAAATTCAACAAATTTTGATATTTGTGCTTTTACACAAGTATTAATACCAAAGAAACGATCATCAATTATAATTTTGAGTGCAATTATATTCCATTAATGAACATTTCATATTCTAATTTTCCATGCATTTAAACTCCTAATACATTTTAATTGTTAGAGCTTGGAAGCTGCTCCCCCCTCCCCAGTGACAGCCCACTTTAAACATATGGAACAGAAAACTCAGCTATATAATAAATAAACATCAAGTTTATTATAACAGATAATGCACAAAATAATAAAATTACAAATTTTACCATTTATAAAATAGGTAGTTCTAACAAAATATTTAACATCTTTTGGCTTTCTTACCTGAGAAAATACAGATAGTAACACCACAGGTTATATGGAATGTTCTGCTTTTATCCAACAATCTTCTAGTTCTCCTGCTTGGAACCTTAATGAAAATCATTTGGTACAGTAAAAATAATGCAACAAATAAGATATATGTAAAAGATTTTTAATTACAGCATTGTTTATAATACCAAAATTTTATAAATATTGCAAAAGCTTATTAATGAAAATTGGCAACATGAATTATGATATATTAATCAATGAGACAACCCATTCAAAAGAATATGAGTTTATATTATTGATATGGAAAGATGTGCAAAATTTATTCTTCAGTTAAAAAGTTATAAAACTTAAACTAGCTATGGTCCTATATTGTTCAACACTAAGGCATTATACATTAACTTATCTGTAAGCACCTACCCAAACTTTCATCAGTGGCCATTCTGGCACAGTAAGACTAAACTTTCTGTAAGAGTTTTGCATATTTCTGGAATGTCTGAGTTTTACAATATATATTATTTTCTTTTATAGTTGAAAATTAAGATTATTTTTAAATGAAGCAATCTTCTCTATGGTTTTAAATGCCTGTTTGAACTTAATGTCAAGAATCTTTGAATAACTATGTTTCATACTGGGAGACAATTCTTTAAGACTTATTAAGCACTGAGACTTAGGTGAGAACTTTCATTTTCTGCCACTTCTCTTCTCTTTCTTCATGCCAAGTAATGGCCAGTCACAGGGATCAAAACCTAGTATTTTACAACTGTAGGCTACTTGGGGAAAGTTATTTCCACAAATAACTGCATTGAAAGTAGAATTTCTAAATATAATTATATGAAAAGTTCAGAAGTTTTACTAGAGTAAATTTGTGCATATGAGCATCACAGCAATCTCAAAGCAACAACTCCTATTAAAACATCAATATCAGTGGCTGTCTTACTGAAGAATAAAACCACATAAATGCATATGTTTACACATATACAAGAATAATCCGAAAAAAGTTTTGTTAAAATTGATTTTTGAAAGGGAAAGAATCAAAGACAAAAATAAAGAAGGAAAACATTTAAGAGACAGAAAAATGAAAAATTACTGTTGATAATGTGTATGATAATCTCCTTAACTGGACTAATACACAGTGTTTTCATGATGGGAAAATTCATTTTACGCACTGTAATGATATAGAGTGATTGAATGTAACAATTTTTTTTAAAAAATGACTGTTTTTCTGGTTTTTTTTACACCATTCTACAATCCTAAATATCACAAGAACATCACTATTAAATCAAGACATCTTTTTCAAGCTGATTACACAGCTCAAAACAAACATGTGTGTTAAAAAAAGATAGTTGCCAACACCAGTGTTCATTCTACGTATTGCTCAAAGGCCACAGGGCTCTAGTTTGCTCCCTTGGATTTAGCCAAGTGAAATTACAGCATCTCAATAAGGCAGGGTATAGTGGAAAAAGCTCGGAAGTGGACTGACCTCAACCCTGCCTTTCACAAGCTTTGGCAAGCTGCTTAAACTCTATCCCTAAGGGTCCTCATGAGTGAAATGAAATGAACAATACCTGACTGCAGAGCTGTTTTAAAGATTCACGACTATGTATGTGAAATGCTGAGCTTAGTGCCTGAAGCATAGAAACGGTTACCCATTTTTATTATCCTCTGCCATTATCGAATATTGCAGCATAGCTCACTGCTCCTCTTGACAGGCAGCATGGCCCTTTCCATCATCTTTGAAGAAACCTCTCTGGTCCAAAGCCAGAACACAAAAACTAAACAAACTAAGATTCTTACACTTGCATGCAGAATCCATAACTATAATCAACTTTTGAATATGCAACAAATCATAAGACATGCCTATTTTCTTTTTTTTTTTCTTACCTTCTCGGATCCTCGAAGGTAAGCCAGAAGTGTTCGGCACATTGGTAAAAGGATGAGGCTGCAGTTGAGGTTAAGAACTGATGCAGAGGCTCTGCTTAGACACAATCCTAGCTGAACAAAGAAGGCAAGGGTCAAACAGCACTTCAGGATAAAGTAAACTACCAGCTGCCCTGACCTGAAGTTACAAGCTGCAATCTCATCTCATTCTTCCTTTAAGGATCACAGCAAATCCCAACTCCTCCAAGAGTCTTGAATAACCCTCCCTTTTCCTCCCACAAAAATCTCCATAAAAGATACTAGTTTGGGGACCAGCAGATAGCATAATGATTATGTCATTGGACTCCCACATAGTCAACTCTGGCTCAAATCTCAGACCTGACAGCTCCAAACTACTCATGCTGGACATGTGTGCCCCAAATCCTGAGAAGACAATGGAGAAGAGACTGTGGCATGACCATCCCCTCTAAGGGGTGATTTCTTGCTTTCTGTCTCTCTGTTTCTCCAGCCCTATAGCAAAGAAAACTCTAAAAAACAAAAAAGATACTAGTTTTTTCTGCTCTGTGCTACCATAAAACTCAGTATTACTCTAATTTTTGCTAGTGTTATAATCACTTGAGTGTGTTCTTCCAGTGCCAGGTGGAGTATTTGTTCCATCCCACCATATCGGTCTCTGTTAGGAGCTCTAGAGGGGATTAATACATTCTGTACTTCCACACTGTATGGCGTAGAATCCTTTGCTTACTAATTAGCTCACAGAAGTTTTAAACCAAACTTTTTTGTGTTCTCTCTCTCTAGAACATTCTCAGTCTCCACAAAATCTACCCCTTATACACCACTAACTGTCTCCAAGCCCCTTGTCCCACTGACTACTTATCTTTCAGGTGTCACCTTAAGTACTAGAGTTCTTTCCTGACCCAAAAATATCAGAAAAGTAACTGCTTTCTGTACTTTCCTCATTATAATGTCTTCTAACACACTTTCTAATACTTTTTAAAGCTTTATTTTACTTATAGCTTCCATGAGAGATAGACAGTAAGACAAAGAGAGGGGCACCCCTGACAGGGTCTGCATGGCATGATCCACCCAAGTTTCAGTTGGCTCAGATCATGGGCACAAGAGTGCACCTGGAATGCTCAGGGAAGCCCTGGGGTGTGAATCCAGGACCTTCCCCAGGTAAGTCCACCTGTGTTACCACTCCACCAACACTCAGCCCAGTTTAATTTTATTTTAAATCGACAAATAATAATTGTATATACTTATGTACTATAATGTGATGCTTCAATGCATGTATATGTTGTAGAATAATCAAATCAGGCTGACATATTGATCACCTCAAATATTTATAATTTCTTTGTGTTAAGAACATTTAACATCTACTATTTTTGCTATTTTGAATTAGTCAGTGCCTTTTTAACTGTAGTCACCATGTTGTGCAGTAGATTACCAGAACCTTCTCCTGTATAAGCAAAACTTTGTACCTGTAGGCCAACATTTCTTGTTTCTCTACCACCCCTACTATTCCCTAAGTTCTGGTAACCACCATCCTACTTTACTCCTATAAATTCTTTTTTTTTAAAGATTCTACATATAATGAGACTGAGTAGCATTTGTCTTTCTCTGCCTGGTTTATTTTACTTACCAAAAAGTCCTCTAAGGTTCATCCATGTTGTTGCAAATGAACAATCTCAAGTTAAAAAATGCCTTGGAAAACTGAAATTTATACATTTGAATGTCTCATGGGAGCAGGATACGACAGTTTGAGCATTATTTTCATGTGGTAATAGTACATTTTTAAAAAATTATTCATTTCATTTATTTTTATTATTATTTTATAACTTAACTAGAGAGAGAGAGAAAACAGAACCACAGTAGGCCATGTGGGAGTCCAGTGCCTCAACTGCCATGCCACCTGCCAGCCCCTGATAATAGCTCATTGAAAGCACAAGAATACTATGTAATAGAATGCAGAGGTTAACAAAGCCCACTTATCTCTTATCATTGGTCACGCACAATTCAGGGCACTTTACACTTATTAGCACATTAAACCTCCTCCTCCTACTACTCTGGGAAGCAATTAACATTACCATCCCTCTTACATTTGGGAGAATGCTTATTCACAGTGAATTTAAGAATTTACCCAACATAAAACAAGTAGAAAATTGTGGGGCCAGAATCCCGGCCCAGAGATTCTGGTTTAATAATCTAGGACCTTAGGGCTTGCTTTCTCACTCTCCTTCCCTCTCCTCCTCCTCCCCACCCCACCCCTTCTGGAGAGAGCACATGCTTCATAGCAAATTATAATATTAATAACAGTAGTAAAAGTAAATTAAATTAAATAAATAATTTTTAAAAATTATGCTATTAACCATTATTTTGTACTGCCTTTTCAAATTGACTTTAAAAAGAAAATGTCTAGAAAGCACATAATTAGGCAGTAAATATTTGTTGAATGATTCAGTGGAAGAACATTTGGGGTAAACAATTTTAGACAACCACCCTAGGTGAAACCTCCCTCTCATCACTTTTTCCATCTCCAAGAAGGTTATTATTCTTTTTCTTTTGTCATTAAAGAGACTTGAGGTATAAAAACAGTTAATTCTCCATATCCAAAGGTTCTATATTCACAGATTTAAACAACAACGACTGATCAAAAATGTTGCCTGGGAACCAGCAGTTAGCGTAATGGCTATGTCGCTGGACTCCCACGTAGTCGACCTCGGTTCGTGTCCCGGACCCGGTGGCTTAAAACTCACGCCGGGCGCGTGTGCGTGCGTGCCCAAGATCCCGAGAGGAGAATGGAGGAGAAGGGATTGCAGCGTGACCATCCCTCCTGGGGGGTGATTTCTCGCTTTCTGTCTCTATGTCTCTCTCTGTCTGTCTGGCGAGCGCACGCACCCTACAGTGAAAATCTCTCCAAAAAAAAAATGTTGCCTGATGTGTACTTCCTGGTTAGGCCTATAATCACTGCATATGCATGGAACATGTGCAGACTTTTTTCTTTTTCTTGTAATTATTCCTTAAACAATATATCAGGTTGTCATAGAAGTCATGGCATTTTCCTATACGAAAAATGCATCATGGGACCAGCAGTTAGTGTAATGGCTGTGTCGCTGAATTCCCATGTAGGCAACTGCGGTTCGAGTCCTGGACCCAGTGGCTTAAACTCACACCAGGCGTGTGTGTGTGTGTGTGTGTGTGTGTGTGTGTATGCATACCCAAGATCCCGAGAGGAGAATGGAGGCATGGCCATCCCCCCTGGGGGATGATTTCTTGCTTTCTATCTCTCTGTCTCTTTTTGTCTTTCTGGCAAGAACACGCACCCTATAACAAAAATCTCTAAAAAAAAAAAAAAGCATTATGATTTTTCCGACAACCTGATAGTGTAACAAAAACTTACATAGCATTAACATTATATTAAGTATTATAAGTAATCTAGAGATGAGTTAAGGTGCAGTCATGTGCTGCATAACTATGTTTGGGTCATTGAAAGACAGCATACATGACAGTACAGAAGTGTGCAGGCCATACCATACAGCTTAGAAGTGTATCAACAATCCTATTTAGGTCCATGTAAGGGCACTCTTTGATGTTTGCACATGATGAAACTGCCTAATGACACATTCCTCAGAACAATCCTGTCATTAAGAGACACCTGTCAATAGAGGAGGCTGTGCATAGGTTACACATAACTACTGTGACAGTGTATATAAGAGACTTAAGCATCCATGGATATTGGGTCCTAGGGTGTAATGCTTCATAGAGACCAAGTCACAGTCATATCTGAAAACTACCAGAGGAAATCCTAGCCACATATTAAGAACTGTCAACACAGCATGGTTGGGATGGAATTCCTAGCATACTTATTTTGTTACTTCCATTTGTTATGTGACAGGTTGACTGAAACTTTTTTGTTTTCTCCTTTTTCTGTAAGTAAATGATAGGCCTCTTCAGAGCAGAATAAATATTTCTGAAATACTTTAACACCACCTTACATTTTTATTTCAATTCCTACTTTATCAACTGCTTTTAGATATATATTTAATGTAATCCTTAGACTAACTTTGTAACAGGCTGAAGAAGTGTCTTTACTGCCACTTCAGAGATAAAGTCATATCCCAGAAAAATAATTAGCTCTGCAAGAAGAAATGCTAAATGCAATAATGACTCAGGATAGTGCTTGGATATCAACATTTTTAAAAGCTTCCCAGATGATTTGAACATGCATCTGGCATGAGAAACACTATCTTTTTGTAAAAAATTAATTATTTATTTAATTTTATTTATTGTTATTATTCATGTTTGCTATAATATACATGCATTCACCAGAGAGAGGCAGACAAAGAGAGAAAGAAAGAGAGAAAGAAAATGAGAAAGCAAGCCGCTAGGTCAACCAGGTGGGAGTACAGCGTCTTAACCACCACAGCATCTGCCGGCCTCAAGAAACACTATCTTAAGCTATTAAGCTAAATTGAAAATTATAAAACAATGACAACCAATAAATGATAAGTGTACTTTCATATTTCCAAACTTACTAGTCAAATTTTGATCTAAAACTTAGCTATTTTTAGACTAAAATCTAAAGGCAAACCATATAAATAGGTATAAATGAAATACAAAGCAACAACCACAAAGATCTCATAGTAAGGTTCGACAACAGAAGGTTTACAATTTCCTTATCACCTAATATGCAACAGTCACCAGGTGAAGGGCTTTTAATTAATCACAAAAATTCTTTTGGAAAACTTTGCATGGTAAAAATTACTATATCCACTTTCAAAAGAGTTATGTAAGGATCTGGAATACTTTGCCTACTCACACAACTGATAGGAGATCAATTTGGTACGCTGGACTTAATGACTTTTATATTTTTTAAGAATTATTTATTTATTTAATTCCATTTGTCATTATTATTTCTTTAATTTGACCAGACAGAGACAGTAAGCAATAAATAAAGGGCAAGTGAGAAAGCAAGCCGCCAGGTCCAGGACTGGAACCGCTATCAGCCACGTGGGAGTCCAGTGCCTTTATCTACCACGCCACTAGCTCCCTTAATGACTGTTGTATCTCAAGACAAAAACTTGGCATGAAACAACATGGAAGGAAGAATATTA